ATATAAAGTCCTCCCATTTGTCTTCATTTTATACAGATTGAAGACTTCCATTTTGTGTTAAGTCTCCAATTCTGCTATCAGCTCATCTAGATAGATAATCTAGACCTCTGGTTACAAAAGCATGCTGTTTTGCCGATTTTGGGGTGTATGTATGGAACTCGACGTCTGAGTCTGTCAGTTCCAATTTGATTTTCTCGTAATCGTTTTTCTCCTGTATGAATAGCAGCGTTGTATGCTTGGTGTACTTGAGGTAGAACGGGCCATCAATTTTTTCTTCCAAGTCACTGATGTTTTTCCTATTGTTTTTGGGTAATCCCACAAGGACGATAGGGGGTAGTTTGAAATTTTTAAGTTCCTGCTGTGGTTGTTTGTTTTCGTTTGTTGGATGTTGTTCTTGTTGGGTTGTTGGGGGCTGACCGGTTCTATTGTTTCCAGCGGTTGATATCTATTTTAGTAGATACCGCTGTTTTGTTGTTTATTATTTTCCCTGATAGGATACACGTTTTTTGGGGAATTGAAACCCATCCTCCGTAATTTGCGGGGGAAGTCAATTTCCTTTTAACCCCTGTCTGCTCTGCTTCCGCCGATTGGTGCACCTGAGCTTGTGTCAGATGCAGTACCGATTCGTTGTTTGAGCAGTCCATCGAATTGTTCGGATTCTGTTTTTGGGTAGCCAAACGGAGATTCTCCAAATAATGCTTAGCTGTATCGCTATTCATGTTTAGAGAGGTAAACTGGTTCAAATGAGGTGTGGTAATGACCTCATCTTTGTCTCCACTGGTTGCAGTCACATCATATGTGAGGATTTGTGACATATAAATAAAAAGTATTCACGTTAAAGTGTCCTATCGCAATATTTAACACACGATTCACTTAAGTAAGCCGACCGATGATACGCTCGGGGGTGCGGGCGGTACCGACGCGAGAGGTTTTCCGTACCCTCCGTAAGCTCTAAGCGATGCGCTCCTGATGTTGATCGGGTGGCTGTTGGGGTGGAACTGCTGATCAGTAGCACGACACTCTGACCCACCCGGCCAACCGAGGTCCCAAGAGACGGAATTTATGAACTAGTATAATATACTAGTTAATAATGGGTTCCAAGTATTGCTTACTGGACGAAGCTCTACAGTAGTGAGACTCCATTTTCGGTAATACCGTGAAAAAGTTCTTTAATACAATTCTCTCCGTTTCACGTCTAGAGTTAACTCTATTTATCTCAGGCAGTTTGGAATTTTCGGTATAAGGAGAATCAATGTTATTACCCTTACCTATAGCTGCCCAGTTATGCATGGACCAAGTTTCCAGGCTTAAGGTATTCGTAAACATGACCTGGCATACTCTTTGGCGAACACCATTTTTCTTCAAATGAAACTTGAACGTAAAGGGTGTCTCATAAATATTTTCTTATTTTATGCCATAAATAAAAATACTTAGAATATTTTTACAAAGATAAATTTATTACCAAACGAAAGCCTAAACATTAATTTTATTTATGGAAAAGAGTATCGGATAAATGAGCACCGTTCATGTTTTCACACTCTCTTAATCTCGAACTGAAGTTTTCGATCACTCTCCGAAGCATTGCTCGAGGAATGGCGTTTATTTCATCTGTTATTTTTTGCTTCAACTCTCTCAAATCTTGTGGCGGTGGGGTGTATACCTTACTCTTCAGGTATCCCCATAAGAAAAAATCTGCTGGTGTCAAATCGGGACTTCTCGGTGGCCAGTTAATGTCTCCTCTGCGACTGATGACCCTCTCTGGGAATAACTGATGAAGAGCATCCAAGGATTCATTCGTGACATGAGAAGTCGCTCCATCTTGCTGGAAAAACGTGTTTCTATTGTAGCCACCATGGTTCTGTATAGCTGGAGTTAAAAAAGTCCTAATCATGTGGCAGTAGCGCTCAGATGTTACAGTTTGAGCTTGGCCACGATTGTCTTCAAAAAAATACGGGCCAATGATTCCTTGCCCTGACATAGCAGCCCAGACGATAACTTTAGGCGAGTGTAATGGCGTCTCATGAAGATTTTGCGGGTTCTGCTCGGCCCAATATCGGCAGTTTTGTTTATTGACATGCCCGTTAATGTGAAAATTCGATTCATCAGAAAACCATATGTTGTTGTAACCGTTAAAATGCTCTCTCATTGTTCTACAGAACTCTAATCGATTAGCGGGATCTTGTGGTTTTAATTGTTGTGTAACAACAATCTTGTATGGGTGAAAATGCAAATCCTTGCGAATAATGCGATGAACAGTTGACTTATGCAAAGTTAGAGACGCTCCACGCAGTCTTAATGATTGCCGGGGATCCTCGTTAACGGACTGGCGCACACGTTCAATATTTTCGTTCGATCTTGCTGACCTTGGCCGTCCAGGCGGTTTACTAATACACGTGTTTCCAGTGCTCTCGAACTTTCTTACCCAATATTTAATTAAATTTGCGCTTGGGACATCTCTCATTCTTGCTATGTTATAATGATTTCTGTACAAACGACGTACAAGCACATAAGAATCCTTGTTTTTATAGAACTCGCGAACACAAAAAGCACGTTGCGGCCCTGTAAAACGCTCCATTGCAACTAAAATTTAACAATGTTGCCAAACGTTTGTCAACTGTCTCGTTTCTCCGGAGCATGCGTATTCCGCCAGAGGACTGATCTAAAAACGAAAATATTTCTGAGACACCCTTTATTAGAACGTCTTGAAGTTTCATTAATTTTATTTTTTAAATCTTTTGGAGCCATACTGTCGACAAGGCTGGAAACGTAAACTTTCCGTTGAGGCCAAGTCATACTTCGCCAAAATGTATTGAAAATGTGTTGCCTATCCTGCTCTGTGAAATTTCGGCAATGTATGTTCTTGGACTTTTCGGACATCTTGCAGTTACAGAAACTTTTGATTTGACGAGGTGGTTTCTCTACATCAAACGTCCATTTTCTATCCGCGGTTGTTCTTAGCCCATCATATGCTTCACTCTTTTCACGTTTAAGCTTACACTCTTGTCTTTTCCAACTTAGAGCATCAGGTTTTCGTTTCCTGTTTCTTTTGATCTCAACGTGGTGCTCTTCAATACTTTCCATCAAAGACTCATCGTTTTCTGGAATATTTTCGTTACCCAAAATGTTCCGTTCCTGAGATAAAGTTGAGACATTCGTTTTCGAAATGTTCGTATTCGCTTTCATTTGGTAGGTAGTTTGGGTCAATATTACGTAGCTGTTTGTTATCCAAAGGAGTGCCTACACTTTCAAGCTCAGCAGTATCTTCATATTGCTTCATACGATCTTGGATGATACTCGTTTCGTCAACTGTTATGTCAGCATTGAGAAATGCAATGTCTGTAGTACCTACGACCAATCCACATTAATAACATTACTAGATTATAGTTCAGTATAAACTTACCACTGACATCGTTTAATAGCAATAATTCCTCATTTTGTTCCCCACAGTCATCAGTTAAAACTTTAATAGCTTCTTCTATTTCCGTATGAAGTTCATCATTTTCATCTGCGTAGTCAGCTGTATCACCAGTTTCATTCAAATTTGAAGCTAGAGCTACCATAAGCTGACCTCTGGTCAGGCGCCGATTCATCGTGAAAGGGAAAAGCTACAATAATAGTACAGTGCCGATTTAATTTGTTCCTCCTGTAATTTGAAATTCAGTATAATTTCTTTCACGCCACACAGTGTTTCAAGATTTCAAAGAAAACATAGATTTATAGATTTGTTCGATAAGTTAGCTCATACTAAATGGAAGGCGAATGATGTTAATCAAAACCGTGTATGTGCGATTCTCAATGCTATTTATAATGAACGAGAGTGAATCAAAACCTCTTAAGTCGTTTCTGTGCAATTGATAGTTTTATCAAATAAAATACTACTGGTCAACATTATACAGCTAATAGTGATGAATTACTTAATATTTTCGAACGAATCCAGGCGCTATTGCACCATTTAATCGTATTTTATACACTGATATAACCTAAAAACCAGGAACGCACATGCGAAAACGGTGGCTGCATTTAAAATGTCGACTTAGAAGCTTTTGCGTAATGTTTCGGAGTGTACCGATATAGAAGGTTTAATCATCGGCTAATAGATGGCGATATAATAATCATAGGGATAGGAGCTATTGTACGCTGTTGAGTTAGAATTTTTAAAAGCCAACTGTGCCAAAACCTCAGAAGTGGTGAAAATCGGACTTAGGAGGTTTTGAAAGTAAGCCGACAATATACTTGCTGGAGTCTGAAGGACTGCGCGACGCCGGTTAAGGGTTAAACGGATAAGTGAACTATGTGGGTATAAAGTGCAATGTAACCATATGGTGACAAAATCAGATACAGGGTATTAGCGTAAAATTATGCACTCTCGGCTTCTGTTTGTAGTACAAGGTAGACGCGTACATTCTTGGACAGAGCTGAACAGCTTGCACATCCATTGTTATCATATGACATTTATTTTCCAGACGTCGTTTCTTGACTAATTCCTTTCCTGTTCGAGCACAGCCTTTATCAGTGATGTGCTTTTCATATTCGGCAATATTATTTGAATTGTCTACTTTAAATGAGCAACACACATCGCACCAGTCTTTACATGGTTGAAAAACACCCAAATTTTTTTGGTCAAAAACTTCAAATATGCTGAGGGGACTGTCAACTGTTTACATATCTCTGTTACAACCGAGTTTTACTTATTAAAGTATTGTCTTCAATGTAACTTTTTTAGTATCTAGGCATTTCTACGCATGTATTTATAGGCATGTGTTTACTATTTTTAGCGAATATCTATTAAATCAAAGCTTATTTCAAAGTGGTAGTATGACTGTTGTCGCTTTGTTTGTCCATGGTTTAATGGTTAAGGTAATATCATTTTTATATCTTTTTCAAGATGTTTGAATTGTCTGGAACGTCTGGTAGGACGAATTTCTCGGATAGTTTTTTGCTTCGCCTTAAGTAAGTTACTTCAAATTCGTCATTTCCTTTCATTCCTGACAACAGTTTTCCTATATAATAAACTTTTTTGGTTTGGAATTTTCGGTTGCAAATTCGGTTAAGACATAATCTCCTTCAACTGGAATCTCATCAAATTCTTCAAAACCTGATGGATGCACTTCATGCTCAAAATTGTTACTGGAGCCATCAGATTTCCATTCTTCATCGTCCGTTTCTTCATCTACAATTTTCCGTTTCAGATACTTTTTTTGCTTTTCTAGTGCTTGCTGTTTTTTTATTGTATTAGCTTTAGGGTTTCCTCTCATAACTTTTGGGGTAATGAAATTTTCTTTTGTGCTACTTAGTGATGTTCTCTCAGTTGAAGGAGTTTGGGACAAGGTGTGGCCGCAAGAAGGTGTGAGTTTTTCTTTCTGAATATCTGCAAAGACTTGCACAGTCACCGAAGTAGCGCTCGGAGGCAGAGCAGTGTTATGAAAGTGTGGTGAATCTTCTTTGACAGAGGCAGGATCCAGAGCAGGTCTCCGTCACTGAGCTCGGAAGAAAGTCTACTTCTGTGAATATATTCCTTTTATATGGATATATTCTACATTTCTTGAAAGCAGAGGTGATGTTGCACGGGAGCATTGATTTTAAGAATGCCTCGCCCACACAGGCAGCAACTTCGTATATAGAAATTGGATTGCCAGGGTGATGAAGTAACCCACTATCAACGGCAGAATTGTACGCCAAACTAAAAGGTTTGAAAATGCCAACGTCTAAGGGGTGAAGCTTATTATTTGAAGATGGCGGAAAAGTCAAAATGTGACTCCATTCTCTTTAGCAAGATTTAGTACCGCAATAGGCAGGTGACTTTCATGATTATCGTACAGAAGAAGACTTGGATTCTCTTTGGAGCTGCATGTATGTTTTATGAAGTGTTCCATTGTTCAAAATGAGTTCCAAAAACAAATGTGCATTTTACAGAAATAAGTAATTATTATACAAAATGTATAAGTATAAATACGACTAATGTATCAAAATTTATCTGAGGGTAATCATACATAAATCTATGCCATTTGAAGCATGATGTGCTCTCTTTTATTTCTGCCAAAGGCACAAGCTCTGACTTCAAAATTTTCATCATAGCTATCACTATTATCTAGCTCCAGTTCATTATCATATTTTAAACGAAAATTATGAAGTATACAAGCTGCAACAACTATATATTTGAAATTTGCTATATTTATCAACTCTATATATTTAAGTTTACGAAAAACTCCTTTAAGTAGACAAATTGCATTTTCCACAACGACTCTTGTACTAGATAATCTTTTATTGAATCTTTTTTGCCCATTGCTTAAATGACCATTATCTTTGAATGGCACCAACAAATAGTTTTCGAGCGGGTATGCTGAATCACCAAGCAGATGGTATTCATCAGGAATCAAACCTTCATTTTCAATTCTATGATGGATTGGAGAATTTGTCCACATCCTGGCATCATGTGATGAGCCTCGCCATCCTCAAAACACATCTATAAATTCTTTTTTACTGTTGCAAATAACTTGCAAAAGCATTGAGTAGTAGCCCTTTCTGTTATAGTACGAGTTATCTTCTACACCTTTGATAGCTATATGGCTACCATCTATACACCCTATCACATTGGGAAAAGAATTTTGGTCACGCAAAGTATTGAAATCCTCCACAGTTTTAACTATGTCTGCACCTGTTAGCCACTTGATATATTTATCTTGGAGAAGACATATTAATTTGCACGTTCTAATAAAAATCCCGTGGGCATTCCCAGGATTCACTCCAAATCTATCGGCGATACTTCGAAAGCTCTCTTGATTAGCCAAAGTCCAAAGGCTTAATAGAACACAGGGTAACAGCTTACTAGCTGGCCTCCCAACAGTGTGAATCTACTTTTTGGTTTCCAATTCTGAACATAACTCCTGAAAATAAACGAATGACAGAGTTAAGTTCTCGATTTGTTAAAATAGATCGAGTATTGAAGATAAACGCTAACACTTACCTCAACCTGGATCCTTGTGAGCCGAAAATGTGATTTAAAGTCACTCAAACTATAACTGTTGACTACTGTATCTGCATACTGTTCAATTTTGGTATGAGTTGCTCTTTCTCTCCACTGGATAAGTTCTTCATCCGAATCATCACTCGACTCGCTTAACAGACGTTCCACCACAATACCAACTGCTGCGTAAATTGCCATAATGATTTTAAATGATAGGGAGTTCAAACTAATAAGCGTCCATTCACGATAAAACAAAGGTTAGGTTTGTTTTCTCATACAACAGCAACCTGAAGGCTAAAAATGCGTCTTGTATTTTCAAGGGAACCGGTTGCTGACGTCACCACATCAACTGTCAACCATAAGTTCACCGGATCCATCATCATTGATGGAATCAACCGGTGAATTAAACAATATACCTATATGCTACTGAGTGCTATCTGCAAAATAAAGTTAGAACAAAAAGTCTCACTGTTACCCACTCTCCCCTATGCTTTCCGTACGGGAGCATGCGGCGTCGTTTAGCATGTCGAAGTTTGTTTGACAAAGAAGACTAGAATTCGTTGTGGGGTGATTTTCTTTCTCGCAGACAATCGCACGTGTTTGAACTGCTTGGTTGTTTGAATTAGTTTCAGAATTCGTGTCGTTACTGGCATCATAAATAGTTTTGTTGACGAATTGGAGAACTCCGTTTTGATTTGAATCAGTGCAATAACTTTCATGAGCAGGTTGATTCACAGAGGATGGTCTACTTGACTGAGTCGCAAGGAACACAATCTTCTCTGTACTTTGAGACAGGTTCATTCTGTCATGGAATAAAAAAAATTACTTTTTGTTGCAAAATTACCTTTTTCATTCCATTATTTAGTCAATCTTTGACTAATACACTACTAAAACGAATCTAACGAGACAGAACAACAACAGAAAGTACCGCAAAAAAAATCTAAATACGAGATTTTTTTTTACTGTCAATAACTCGTATGTGCTATGACTACAAATTATCCAACCTCAGTATTTAATGTCAATAGCTCGTATCTCCTAAAACTTGTACTTGTGTTTTTTAATTATCGTATTTTTGCAAAATATATTGTCTAATCAGGTGTAAAGGTGAATACGATCATAGTTCAAAGGTTTCACGTACTTACCTTAGTTTGATTTGAGCGAAATAAGTCTTTATTTACAGAGCATCATGGGAAATAAACGACCGCTAACGTAAATACGAGGTACTGTCACGTGATGATTTCATCTATTTCCTATAGCATAACACATGTGAGCAATTGCCACGAGAAGCAGAGGTGGAGCAATATTACAACTGCATTAAAAAAATTTGCATTTACGAGGTATTGCTTCTAAGCCATAGAATATTCGTTATTGAACAAAACTTAGTTGTAAATATTGTAAATACTATTACGATTATGTTATTATATTGAAGTAAATATAAAGATATGTTGATATTACTATGGTGTTTTCTTTATGGGGTTGACACCAAAAAAAAGGAGGAGGAGGGGCTGTCCTATTCAAAACGGGTAGTATGTTTTGTTATAACGTATGACATGATATGTCAAAAATGTGTTGATTCCAAAGGCTTGTCCGATTTTGCTCCCGCTAGGCGTGTGGTTGAGGGTCAAAGCTGTCAAATGTAGAGTGTAGACAGGAAAAAGACATTTGACAGACAGGTAGTGGGACATCGGCAGACTTGAATCAAATCCAAGCGAACAACCAAAATTTCTGTGTTATGTACCGCGGTTATAGTATGGTTTAAGATGACACACGGGGTGATGACGTCAGTTACTCGAATCGCTTGAACGCGTTGGTTTTAACCGCGGTTTTGTTGCAGGTTGTTTATTTTAGAAAAGCGCGTATATTATACCTAATTTCTGATTATTTTTATCATCACTTAATAATCAGTGCGTCTACAACAGTGATATGGAAAATTTAGAAAAGAAAACTTTCATGATATTAATGGGAGAAATGTTTTTTTCCTCAGAAGATATTGTTCATGTGTTGAATCACTTGAGAAAATCGCTCTTATGTTCACACAAATTTGTCGTGAATATAAAGGATATGACGCCCAAAATTTTAATGGTGGAACCATGGATTTGTAGCTATGAGAACTTCCAGTTCTTTAAACTTTCCCGTATGTCAAAGAAAACATTTATTGATTTAGCAGAAAAGATAGGAAGAAGCGACGAAAAAAAGATATTAGCAAAGCCATATACAGGTGGTCACTATCCAGTGAGTTTATATGTATATGGCCATATTTTAATATTCTTGTGTTATATGGCTACACAGGATACTTTGTTAAGCATAGGAACTAGATTTAAAGTGTCCCCAACAACAGTGATGAGTATAACAAATAAGGTGCTCTACTTCATGCTAAAACTAAAATCAGCCTACATTAAGTTTCCCGAAAATGAAGCTGAAACGAGAGACATTAGTGAAGGTTTCAAGGAGTATCCAGGTAAGTGAACGTTTCTGAATACTGTAAACCTAGGGTGATACCGCCCCCTGAATTTCACACAATTACTTCCCTATGGTTACTCTATATTTCCCCAGAAACCGGTCAATATTTCCTTGTTGGTTTCCCCCTCATGTAAGGCCTAGTCATTAATGTTTTAGAGACAAATAGGTATTTAGTACAATTACTGTATATTATATTCAAACTTTTTTGGTTGGTCCTAATTGATGCCATCACAACCTTTCCTGTAATAGTATTCATTGGAATATACATATGTATTTAGTTAATAAGTTACATCTGTTTCCACTTTTCAGTTTATTATTATTTTCAGGAGTTATTGGAGCAGTAGATGGTACCCACATATTTGTAAAGGTTGAAAAAAAGTCAACAAGATAGCTACATAGACCGCTATAGAAGAACATCTATAAATCTCACGGCAATATGTGATTCTAACACTTTATTCACCTATGTGTTTTTAGGATACCCTGGATCTGCTCATGACTCACGGGTATGTGTTAACAAAAATAAGAAAACGCCTCATTTTGAAGTGAATATTTATTACATCTTTATTATATTGCAATAAAACTTCAAACTAGTATTTTGGTATACAACATATTGTAGGAAAACATTAATATTTTTTTATATTTTTATACTTTAATTTCAGGTTTTTGAAAATTCAATTATGTGCAAAAACATTGAGAGGCATGGGCCAAACTTCTACTTTTTGGATACTCAAAAATATCACCTAATTGGTGATAGTGCATTTGCATTAAGAACTTGGCTTATTACTCCTTACCGAGGCGACAATGTGACCAGAAAGCAAAAATTTCACAATTACTGTCTTAGTTCCGACAGAGTAAAAATTGAACATTGTTTTGCGGCATATAAGGGTAGGTGGAGAAGGGTGCAATATATAAATACCTATAACATTTGCAAAGCAGTGGAGATTGCAACAGCTGCGTGTGATCTACACAATTTTTGCATTTTGCATAAAGACACCTGGAGTAGCGATTTTTTTGGAATTGACCTGGACAGAAATATAAATCAGGCTGAACTAGAAGATAGGGGTAACATAGAAGCAAAGCCGAAAAGAAATAGAATTGCAGACACTTTATTCTTATGCAGATATAACATAGAATAATATTATTGTACCATCTTTCAATTCAAATTGAATAAAAAACACAATTATTGGTTTGCATTTTAATTTACTTATCTCTACATTCATTTTAACTTAATTATTATTCTACACACAAGGTTTGTTAGTTATCACAAAAGGTATATTACCTTTTTTATGGATGGATTGACTTCTACACATTGGCAATGTCTTCCTTGAATAAAACTAAAATATTAGAACAAGAAACTATTTATTACACAATTTAAAAATCTCAATTAAAAACCAAAAAGAAATAAATATTAATAAATAATAATCCTAGTCAGTGTCAGAATCGTCTTTCTTCTTTTTTTTGTCCCAAAAGCTGCCTCAACAATTTCTAAGAACCTGTCCTTTTGTTGTTCGTTTTCTTCAAATGTTCTTTCAAAAAACTAAATTCTTCACTTCTTATTTTTCTATCCTTTTCCATTTCTCTTATCAGGTCATCATGCCGAGAAGGTGTTACCTTTCGAGTTTTTTTAAATCGGCTAACTGGTGTTGTTGTTGAGGGACCCAATTGAGTTTCCTCTGAATCTGTATGATCTGGTTGTCGCTGTTCTATTTCATTTTTCACACTTTCTGATGTTTCATCCATTGAATCCTCTAGATTCAATGGGGTTACCTTATGTTTGCATTCTAAAAATTATATTGCTAAGTACTTCCACCTGTTTTGACTTAAGGAATCTAAAGGTACACATTTTTGTTTTTTGATGGTTCATACCAGAATTTTTATAATTACAAACATGACAGAAGAAAAATTAAAATATAGTCATGACATACAATAACAATACTACATACTTGCTTAAGATAGTAATGTGAAAGTAAAAGAAGATATTAAACTAACCTAGAATGGAGTGGAGCTGATCAAAAAAGGTAGGAATGTCATCAATTCTCTCACTTCCTGTTGTAGTTTGATGCTTCATGTAAGATAAATAAGTTTTTTGCAAATTCGCAAACTTTTGACGACACCGCTCTCCTCCTTTGTTCCCAAGATGGAAATTATTTTCCTCTAACTCTTTTGCTATGTCATTCCACAATTTAAGTTTTCTGGTTCTTTTGTCATCAAAGTAAGTATTTTTTCCTCTCTTAAGGACAACATTAAATGAGTTGCTTCATTATCCATTTCAGAAGGCTTCTTCTTTGTCCAAATCATATCATTAATAGATGGTTGAATGGTCGAGTCATTTTCATTGTGAGACATAGATTTTAAATCATTCTGAGGTTGATTTTCGAGTCATTGTGCTCATGCTGACACCCCAATGGACACATCGATAAAATACTAGTATATTGCTCTGCAGCAGCAGCATCTAAAATTTCATGCCAAACTTATTTGAATATAAAAAATATGCCACTCTCATAACTGATAAATCTTAAAGCAAAGTATGAGAGGTATCCAGTTCTGATACAGAGTTTATTATTGAATATGTGCATACCATGTAGAAAAAGTCACATAATATGTAGGTATCTAGAATCAATAGGGTCAGTTTTACCTTGCACCCCACCTGTTTAATATTTAAATAGCCCATAAATATCAGGCTTTTTCTACAAGGTATACAATATACTATTCCTTGCTTATCATACTATATAGTTACCATTCAAAAGTAAATTGGCTGTTTCAAGGTCTTTAACGCAGACCTTGTAGTCTAGGCCTTCATAGTTTAAAGTTAGATAAAATTGCTCCATATTATTTTCAATTTAATAAAGAACTGCAAAACGCTCTTTTAAACGCGCATATAACCTCACAAGTACGACGAAAATATCCAATACCCGCCAAAATTCTAACTTGTCACATTTCAAATAATAACCAAAAATATAAAACTGCTCGGGAGTTGGGTAAATACCACAATTTTGCGGTGATAACTATGCCATATAACAGCTGATTCATGACGTCACGGATCTTATAACCAAACTGATAACTACACTCGCTTGAACGGATCGGTAAATACCAATCCAGAATGGTAAATACCGTTTCCATTTGGTTATTCGCTTGAATTTGATTTTGGTTTTGATGTCTCTTGACGTAAACAGCTGAGTGATAATTGGTATGTTTCCATATGACTCAAACTTTAACTAGAACCATTTAGCATAGTTAATGTTACATAAATCAAATTCAAGCGGATAACCAAATGAAAATGGTATTTACCATTTTGGATTAGTATTTACCGATCCGTTTAAGCGAGTGTGGTTATCAGATTGGTTATAAGATCCGTAACGTCATGAATCAGCTGTTATATGTCATAGTTATCACCGCAAAATTGTGGTATTTACGTAACTCAGGAGTAGTTTTATATTTGTGGTTATTATTTGACATGTGACAAGTTAGAGTTTTGCCGGGTATTGGATATTTTTATTGTACTTCAGCTTCATTTTTGGAAAACTTGATACAGGCTGACTTCAGTTTTAACATAAGAGAGCACCTTATTAGTTATAATCATTACTGTTGTTGGAGACACTTTAAATCTAGTTCTCACGCTTACCAAAGTATCCTGTATAGCCATATACCACAAGAATATTAAAATATGGCCATATAAACTCACTGTCTGATGTCCACCTGTATACAGTTTTGTTAATATCTTTTTTCATCGCTTTTTCATCATTCAAAATATTGTCTTTGACACGCGAAAAAGTTTTGAGAATTGAATGTTATCATAGCTACAAAGCCATGGTTCCATCAGTAAAAAAAAATTTATGAAAAAAAAAAGATTTCTCCCATTAATATTATGAAAGGTTTCTTTTTTAAACTTTCCATATCCCGTTGTAGCCGAAAAAGCACCGATTATTAAGTGATAATAAAAATAATCAGAAATTATGTACGCTCTTTTCTAAAATAAACAACTTGAAACAAACCGCGGTTAAAACCAACGCGTTCAAGCGATTCGAGTAACTGACGTCATCATCCTGTGTGTCATCTTGAACCATATTATAACCGCGGTACATAATACGGAAATTTTGGTTATTCGCTTGGATTTGATTATAGTATTTGAGACCATATTATTTGTAAATCCTCCTTTAACAAAATAAGGTGTGCAGTGGCGCTCCCAGGATTTCAGTCTGGGAGGGGTAAAATGGAAAGTAAATTCTCAGTGTGACGTACTGAAGTGTTATAATGATTTAACATTAAAAGCATGGACATATGCAGACATATGAATTTGTTATAGTAATTTATGTAGAAAATACATATATTTTTTCGATTTTGAATCATACGAAATCAAAGTGTAAATAAAGCAAACCAAGCTCGAGCAATCTTCATATGTATATTAAATCAGAAATGCAAAATAATATAATCTAGCACAGACTTTTCTACATAAAAATGTCAGACAAAACAACAAAAAATACATCTTCATAAAAAATAACAAAGCAAATATTTTAGGACTTATATAAAGTATAAAACTGAATATAAATCAAAATAAACTTCTTAATCATGAGAAAAACAAAAAATATTCATTGCATAACTACATTCTCTTAGCAAGTCTAAAAAAAACATATAAACTATAAAACTACATCAGTTCTCAGTCTCAAAATAAAACAATATTACATTAGCTTAGAAAGTGAATTGAACAGAATTTGAACATCGATCTGCCCAATAAATAAAACCACATATCTTGATTGGATACTTTGGAAAAGATTACCGTGGTGGTTTAAACGTAAGTAAACCATTAACTACATCTGCTTTTTTATTTATTGTCCAACAGAAGGGAGATGGATTTGAGATACAACCTTAGGCAAAGTTCAGGTGTTATCATATTACAAAACCGAGGCGCCTATTCTTTTGCTGGCGAACCGATCTATAATTGTATTCACGTCTATTTTAATATCCCTATGCACTTACAAAAGAGCTAAACCAACTAATCGCTCTTGTAACATAGTGGAGCGCAGCCAAGTTTTTGTCCTCTTTAGATGGGAGAAACTTCTTTCAGATGTCGTGGCAATGAAGTAAATAATAATTGTAGGCATCTATTAATTGAAGGAAAAATGTTTTCATCACATAATAAATACATTGACATTCCACTGTCTATAATATCTTGTGTACGTGACTTCCAAAGGTCAAATTTTGCTTTTAATCTGGTACTTATTAAATTTTTGTTTTCGTTACTATTTTGTCCATGCAAATATTTAAAGATTGTTTCTAATATGTCCATTACTTCAGCTTCAGTTTTTGAATTAAATACTGACGCAAAATCACCAACAAGCCGTTGAAGCTGCTCTCGCCGAAAGCCCTGACATATTTGGTGACAATAATCAATGCAATGCTTAGAATCCAGCACTTCTCTGCTGGCTGGAAGACTGCTGAGTCATCATGATTCCAAAGAAGGTGGGTTCGATATTTCCTCAGAATTACCGTCCCATAGGTCCGCTGTCAGCTCCTTTTAAGCTCGACGAAAAGGTGATTTATCGTCACCTTGAGAATTTTTCGTCAAATCACCATGTGATTCCTGACGTTCAATTCGGTTTTCGGTCCGAGCATAGCACTGAGCTATAGGCAGTCAGGCTGATGGAACATGTAACCAGAGGGTTCACCCTCAGCACGAGTACTGGCATCTTGCTTTTGGATGACTCAAAAGCCTTTGACAACTAATCCAAAAGGGTTTTCCTTTTTGGCTTCTAAAATTACTGAAATCCTTTCTTGAAGGAAGGAAGTTTTGGATCAAAATTATCAATGTTTTGTCAACAACACGGCCAGTACGGGCCCGTGTTCCTCAGGGTAATCGGTCCTAGGACCAATCCTTTATTCGCTTTTTATCCATGATGTCCCTTGCCCCAGCAACTGTGAAGTCTACCTCTATGCTGACGACACTGCACTTGTCGCCCAGTCATGTACTGGTGATCTGGTTCCCGATGGGTTGCAGAGTGCGGTGGAAGAAGTACGAGAGAGGGCGGAACGGTGGCTGATTAAAATTAATCATTCGAAAACGCAGGCTATTTATTGCACCAAAAAACGACGCGCCCCCCAGCAGAGGTCTCTGTAGATGGCAATCGTGTACCATGGACAAATTCTGCCAAGTACCTCGGTGTCACCCTTGATAAAGGCATGACCTGGCAGAAACATACAGCAGCCTTGAAAACAAAATTCCAAATTGCGTTTCGGCAACTATATCCTTTGTTATGTAGATCCTCCAAATTGAGTTTGATAAACAAAGTTCGCCTATATAAAAATGATTATTAGACCAGCCATTACTTATGCATGTGCGGCTTGGTGTTTTCTTGCCAAGACACATATGCAAAGTCTTCAAGTACTGCAAAGTAGAACTTTGCGAACAATTTGCAACGCTCCATGGTATGTCTCAATCGAGACACTACATAGAGACCTTGACATTCCTTACTTGAGGGATTATGTCAAACTTCAGGCGCAGTGACGTGATAGTCAAGCGGAGTCGCACAGCAACCCCCTGTTGCGCGACTCAGTGGACTGCACAGTAGAGCAAGTTCGCAAACATTCAAGGCCTGTAATCAACAATTCAAATCAAATCAACTTTTAGTAAACTTAAAATTACACTCTAACAAAACCGAATCAAAATTTGCTTGTTTCACCTCAAAATTAATCCCTGTACCAAGTCAAAAAGCCTAGTTTCTCCTCTCAAACTAAAAACTTCTGTTTTTTTTGCTCTTTTCCATTTTTCTTCTCTTTCCCTTTCTCTTTTTCCTTGACATTGTCTGGTTTCTGGGCAACCAGTACTAACAGATTCGACTAACGTACATTAGACAGTGACTGATGGGCAAAGGTCCTAAGGACCGCCCAGACAAACAAATGAATAGTACTGATGCAAAGAAAATATTAAAATTGTATATATTCAAAGATTCTTCATTGAACCGCTATACCAAATCCTGTAATACATTATCTAGCAAAGGGATATATAGATTCAGTCTGTAATGATTTTCCTTGTCAGACGTAACTATGTTCGGTATGTTCATTTGCCTGCTTGTTATTCTTGGCACAGTCAGTTAATACCCAGGGTTTCATGTGATTTCATTATAGATGCGAATAGTATTCTAAAGTGTTTTTCGGAATTTGCGCGTTTTTCTTGTGCAGCTGAAATAATATTTCCTATGAGTTTGACAGCGTATTGTCTGTCAATGGTTTTTGGCTGTAAAATCTTACTCAGGTTGACTGTTAAAGCTAATATATCACACAAATACTTTAGTGATACGATAAATTGGGTGGAAGTAATGGCAGTCTTCAAAGACTCCGCTTTTGAAGAAGCTTCGTGGTCTTTCCATTTTGATATATTTAGTACCTCTACAATTTTCTCGTATTTGCTTTCAAATTGGAGCACAGAATCATGTCTCTGGGTTCTATTGTGTTTCGCGCATACTATGAATTTGATATCCATCTAGTTTTCTTTTTAATACTGTATTTCTTTTATACCTTCTTTCTTACTGCTTGGACACTGCTGCTTTTTGAAATCGAAAGATTCTAGGCATGATTTGCATGACTGTTTGAGTAAGAATATGACCTGTGAGTTTGGGCTCCATTGTATCTTCATAAAAATTTGAGTAGCAATCCACAAATCCCATGACGTCCTCGTAAATATGTTTTTGATAACAATACCGCAATACGATTGACATTTGTGATTTATGGCTAATGTCTGTAGTTTCGTCAAATATAATACTGTAATACTGACTATGCCTGACGCGACTTCAGACCATAAACAAGATTTCTTCGCCACAACATTCTATAATTTCATTTTGGATGCGGCTGCTTATGTATGTAGGATGCGCTTTTCAGTTCTCTAAATTTTTTTCAATAAATTGTCGCCGCTCTCGACTCTAAACCGTATTAGTTCTCTAAAATTCCCTTCATTATTAAGGAAATCCTCGTCATGCGTGCTGTCATTAGAAAAAAGTCATCTCCTATCTCTCTGTGCCCTCTAAGTGGTATATTTTAGCATCCTAAAAAATTATAGATTCTATATTGCCGATTTTCTGATACTTGCTTAATTCGCTCTGAACTTATTATATTTCTTACATCATTCTTTGGATTTTCGTAAATCTCTAAAAAGTTTGTAGCATCTGAAACTGCTTCTGTATGATATATTGAGTTCTCATTTGTCTCAAAATCACCAGTTTTGCCATACAATTTCGAAAATTTCTTTAGTGGTACGGTGACAAGTTTTCCCAATTTAGTTGATTTATGTACTCCTAATTTTGCAAAAACCACGCAATATTTACAGAAAAGCCCTTGTAGTTCCACTCACGCTAGGCTGCATATGAAATTTCTCAAAGTATTTTTTTGATAAATAACCTTTCACTTCTTTATTATTTTTCAAGTGTGTGAAATAGGGATATTTGAAAGAGTCATTGGGATCATTGCACACCTCAATAAGGTATATTTTTCATGCGAGGACAAGTTGCCGCTGAAATTAACATATGGCGCAACATCAACAAAATTGGATCCTTTAGGTTTCGCACCCGATTGTTCAACACTTGGTTCCGCATACGGTGCAACATCAAGAAATTTTTAAGTGGAAGGCTCCGGTTGAATTGTAGGATTATCATCAGTTTTTTTCGGCAATTCTTGTGCCGGTGGATCAGACAGTTCGTTTTGTTTAGAAAGGAATCAATCGATGGTATTGTTTCCTTTTACTCATCCTGACAACTGCAGCCGTCAACCAGCACTAAAAGTTACACAAATATACGGCATTATTGGTTCCCACGCATTCACGTATCTCATAAAAAAGAACCTTTTCTGTTTGGATAATAAGATTTCTTAAGTTCACGCAATTTTCAAAAACTAAATATATAATTTGCCATCTCGTAGGTGGTAGACGGTCTCTGAGTGTCGAACGCGGAGGTACCACCCGGCGGATCTCGTAGGCGGAGCCAGAATGTGTGCATGTTGCATGCACACGTGTTTCCTCGCCAGAGTCCGTGTGGCGTTCCCCCTTTCCCATGTATCCCACTATAGCCCCACGGTACCCAATGGGTGCTTAGGCCTTAGGCCTTCGTGGTGGTTGGAGTATAAAAAAAATCTCGGACGAACAAAATGCACTGAAGTGCTTATATACATGAACTTCCGAGACAAAATAGACATAGATGATAATGATAGCTGGAGTATGGACCAAACACTTCGTAATTGAAATTATATTAAATTTCCATTTTTCCATTTTTTTAGACACGATTCTTTTATCGTATAAAAATTAAACATAAATTAATTTTCTGGCTTATGCGTGGAAAATAAAAAATCAATAGAACATAGAAAATAGCGTTAATACCAACCAGATCAACAAAACTCGACTTGTTCACTTTTCAGCCAAATTATGTTGCAGACTCCGGACTGGTACAGAATTTAGACACTAGACAGACCATAAAAGACTAGACTATATCTGTTCCAACAGGAAGAAGCGCACACTGTTGCTGGGAGAGTAGACGCATGCGCACTGAGCGGGTTGGCAGTGTTGCCGCTATCCTTTCTTAAAGTTACAGACGTTAACTTTATACCACCTTTTCAAAGACTGCTTTAGTCGTCTGTGGGGGTGGGGGGGTAATTACTCCCTTTACCCCCCCGTGGGAGCGCCAGCGGTTTCCAGAGAAGGTTTGCCTAATTCAGGGATAATGTTCTATAAGATACTGGGATTGGTTGCCTGTATTTCACAAGAATCATAATTTAATGGCAGTGCACTACCAAGAGCTGGCAACTGCATACTATTTTCATCAAGCTTTAAGGTGTATATCACCACTTCTCATGTTTGGGATGTGTTTTATTAGTGTAATGCTTACTTTATTGCTTTTATATATTTATTTCAAAATAATCCATAGGAACATTCAGATGTCATAGATTGAGCAAGATAAGGTCTATCTGAGGTGATAAAACAATAAAGAAGTATTTTTATAACATTTCATCAACAATCCAGGAATCTTCTACTAAAAGACTACTATTTCTCTGACTGTTAAAAGTATATCTGTGGCTTGGTTCTAAAAGGGCCAATGTCAAAAATCATCGAAATTGAGTTTGGCCTTGATTTGTACTAAGAAAAAACAATACTTTATTCTGTAGAAAGGGCCTAAGTCTATGAGCTATCATAAGCACTGTATTAGAATTCCACTACAGCCAATGTCAATTGCTCGAATGCCCTACATTTCATACAAACGGCCACAGTAGACATAGGCTCGGAGTTATAGAGGTTGTTTCATCCTAGAACGGTTTAAGTCTACATCGGCCCTTTTAGCGAAAAATATTTTCCTGGTCTGTAGACATCGGCCAAGTAGTCGAGTGAGGAACACGTGGTTCGTCTAAAATTTACTGTAGCTGAACTTATCAACTGATGTGTGCTAAGTCCCTAAAAATATGTCTGATCGATATAAAAGGATTGTCCAACTTGGTAGAGAGTTGAATATTCAAGTAGAAGGTGAGTTTAGTAATAATTTTCTTCAAGAGAATGTTTTTTGAGGTTATGTCTCCTAAGCGGCATTCATCGACTTTGTCAATCTATAATCAAATTCAAGCGGATAACCAAATGGAAATGGTATTTACCATTTTGGGTTGGTATTTACCAATCCGTTCAAGCGAGTGTAGTTATCAGTTTGGTTATAAGATCCGTGACGTCACGAATCAGCTGTTATATGTCATAGTTATCACCGCCAAATTGTGGTATTTACCCAACTCAAGAGTAGTTTTATATTTCTGGTTATTATTTGAAATGTGACAAGTTAGAATTTTGCCGGGTATTGGATATTGTTATTGTACTTCAGCTTCATTTTTGAGAAAAATGATACAGGCTGACTTCAGTTTTACCATAAAGTGGAGCACCTTATTAGTTATACTCATTACGGTTGTTGAGGACACTTTAAATGTAGTTCCTATGCTTAACAAAGTATCCTGTGTAGCCATATACCTAGGGTGACCATATGTACTTTTTTTAGTAGGACAGTACTTTCTTTTCAAACGCTGTCCTATTGTACTTTACGATTTATGAAGTACACCTACATGTACTCTTTTTCTTAATTACACAAAATTTAGTCCTACTATTTGTGAAAACGAAATATAACTATGATTATTATGATTTGAATTGATTCAAGAATCGATCTTTTGTGGAAGAATCGCCCATCCCTAGCAGCAACCGATCGCAGGTCGTCGTCTAGTTTAGCCGATACGTCCATCTCCCATCTCTGTCTATTTCATTTCGCAGCTAGTATCTCGTCGTATGTTTATTAGTTACTTCTGGGCTTGCTGTCGATTAGTCTATTTACCTTTACGTTAAATTCCAGCAGTTTTTCTTGTATCTTATACTTTTTTGTGCTGTTTGGAAAAGTAAACAATTTTATCATGTCACCGCCTCAAAGAAAATGCCATTTTAACGCTGAGTTGCAAGCAGAGTATCCATTTTTGAAACAAAAATCAAATGTTTCACCGCATATTGTGTTTTGCCAAGTTTGCAGAAGTGATGTTGATATTTCTAACAGTGGTCGCAGTAATATCAAACAACATTTGTCCAAGAAGAAACACATTTTGGCTGCAAATGCAAACTTGAAGAGCAGAAAATTGGAAACTTTTCTTAAAAGTGACAGTTCAAGTTCTGAAGATATGTTGATTGCTGCCAAGGAAGGTACTTTTGCTTACCATACAATTAAGCATTTGCAAAGCTTCAGATCCTTAGACTGCACGTCAAAACTAATTGTAAACATGTTTGAACCAAAATTTGCGGCAGCTCGAACCAAGACTGAGGCGATTGTAAAAAATGTTTTAGCTCAAGAAGCTCAGTCCCAATTAGAAATTGACCTTCGAAAAGCAAATTTTGTTAGCATCACGATCGATTCGTCAAATCATCGAGAAATTAAAGTTGTGCCCTTAATGGTAAGGTATTTTGATGGTGAAAAGGGTATCCAAGTAAAATTACTTCAGCTGCGTGACTTACCCTGGGAAACATCAGAGCAGTTGAAAGATTACGTGGTCAGTGCTTTGAATCACCATAATCTACTTCAAAAATGCATCGGAATGTCTGCTGATAACACAAATACAAATTTTGGTGGAATGAGGAGAAAAGGAGTGAATAATCTATTCAGCAAGTTAAATGCTTCTCGTGGCAAACCCGTCATTGGAATTGGTTGTGTAGCACACATCTTTAACAACTGTTTACAAAATGCGACGGACGTCTTACCAATAGACGTCGAAGTTATTGCGGTCAAGATTTTTAAGCATTTCTATATTTTTACAGTCAGAGTGGAGAAACTAAAACAGTTTTGTGATTTTGTTGATGTCGAGTACAAAAAAATGTTGTCGTTTTCAAAACTAGATTCTTAAGAATAATGCCAGCCATTGAACGAATTGTACAAATGTTCGAACCCTTGAAAGCATATTTTTTATCGATTGATAATTGTCCAACAGTTCTAAAACAGTTTTTTCAAAACCCAATCAGTGAAGCATGGATGTGGTTTGTGCATAACATTGCGTCTCTCTTCCACAAAGTGATTTTAGATGTAGAAGGTGACAAAATATGCGCAACAGAAGCCGCTTTGGAGTATTTCGAACTCATAAATAAGCTTCAAAATCGTTTAAATGAGTTATATTTACCGCTTAAAGTAAGAGAGTCACTTTCGAAACTTGAGAATATGGGAGACATTGACCGTAGTGTAAACTATCGGGATATCTTCATCATGCATGTCAAGCGAATTGTGTAACATATTTGAAAAACTGGAGTGAAAATTTAAGTGAACTAAAGCTATTTGGATGGGTTAACTTGAAAAAACAAGTTTCTTGGGCTGAAATTTTGTCGTCGTGTGAGGCTTTCAAGGACTACATAGGTCCGATATTGAATCAGGACGAACTGTTCGATGAAGTTAGTTTAATACGAACCAACGTTACAGAAGATAAAATCGTAGACTGGAATTCGAGAAATATTTCTACCGAAGATCGATGGCTCGAAGTCTTCCAAAAAGAAAGTGCTTTGAAAAATCTCAAAATTCTATGCGAGTTCGTTTTTTGTCTGCCTGGGACCAGTGCGTCGCTTGAGAGGTTGTTCTCAAATATCAATAACTATTGGAGTCCCGACAAATCGCAGCTGAAAATATCTACTCTGGAAGCCATCATGCAAGTCTACACAAACTTCAAAGTTTCGTGCAATGAAATGTTTCAGTTCTTAAAGAGTAAACCACAACTTCTGAAGGAAATTCATGGTTCCAAAAAGTACGACTGGTACCAGAATGATGATCAAAATTTTCTGGCAGGAACGTCGAAAGAAAATTAGCTTTTAAAATTAGCTTTAAATATATATATATATACATAATTTATGTACCTATGTTTGATTTAAAAAAAAAACATTCTCTTATTGTTCGATTAAAGATTCTTAAAATTTTAACCAGATAAATTTTCTAGAGTATTGTACTGAATTTCCTTTAAATTTATAAATGCACTTTTTTTTTGATGAAAAATTATGGTCACCCTACATATACCACAAGAATATTAAAATATGGCCATATAAACTCACTAGATGATATCCACCTGTATACGGTTTTGCTAATATCTTTTTTCATCATTTCTGCTGAATCAATAAATGTTTTCTTTGACATGCGGAAAAATTTAGAGAATTGAAAGTTATCATAGCTACAAAGCCATGGTTCCATCACTGAAAAAAAAATCTGAAAAAAACATTTCTCCCATGAATATTATGAAAGGTTTCTTATTTAAACTTTCCATATACAGTTGTAGACGAAAAAGCACCGATTATTAAGTGATAATAAAAATAATCAGAGATTATATACGCGCTTTTCTAAAATAAACAACTTGCAACAAAACCGCGGCTAAAACCAACGCGTTCAAGCGATTCGTGTAACTGACGTCATCAACCCGTGTGTCATCTTGAACCATATTATAACCGCGGCACATAACAGAGAAATTTTGGTTATTCGCTTGGATTTGATTTATGTTGTGTATGTTTTATTAGTTTTCATTGGTATTAATAGAAATGCAGGACAGCACTGGCTAATTCCTTAAAAAAATCCAAAAAACAGTTGACAGATGATAAATGAAAGTAACATTTTCGAGTAACACAATTTTTTAACGGGTTTTGACAATTGTTTCACTAACACATGCCTGAAGCAACCTGTTACTATAGGGTGGAAATCACAGATTATTATTTCCTTAACCTCCTGTATCTGTTTTCAGAGCAGGTATTGAAGACCAAATTTAATTGCTATAGTTTCACGATATAGTTTCGATATAGGTACCATCATTTTGCGGAGAAGATACATTATTCATGAATCATGCCATTTAGTCAAAGTATACAGATATATCAGCTCTTGGTTACTGGTGTCATCAGACCCACTTACGTCCAGCTGTTAGCACTGGAGATTGGTTTTTATTAACTTTCTTTTTTCAGGTAACTCTGAGACAAACAGCTCTAAGCTTTGGAACCCGAGCTGCTCATTACCGGGCACATCTCGCTCTGACACCACTCTGCATTTGCCAAGCAATTCTGTGGAAATATGAAGTACAATGCAGTGTCGAGTAACAGGAGCGCACAATTCAACAGCTGTTCCTCACGTCGCACAGGAAGAGCATGATAGCGTGACTCAAAGCAGCTCGGATGAATTCATTTCCAGTTCCGAATCATCCGACTCCGATACTAGTTTTGGTCCTTTGGTAGGAAAAAAGAGGTACAGTAAACGAACAGAGGTCCATGTGACTGCAGACGCTATTGGGGTACATGCCCTGACCAGCAAACGTAGAGGAAGGAAAAAGCAAGAAGAAGTCCAATTAACGAGAAAACGCAGACAGCCAGAAAAGTGGGAAAAGAATATAAGGAAGCGTATGATATATTGCAAATAATATAGAGGAGGTATCAAAAAAGGTTGAGCAGTTAAGACAATCAACACAAGAAAGTAGAAGAAAGTACTCTAGACGATATTTTCTGACCAAAGGCCATAGCAGCAGGATAGAAGTATGTCAAACAATGTATCTAAGCACTTTCGATTTAACTGCAAAGAAGGTAAGGGTACTTGTTGAGAAAAGAGAAATACTGAGTCAGGAATATGTATGGTGGACCAACGGGGAAAGCATGAGAACCACCCAAAAGTGTCATCAGAAGACAAAGAACGAATAAAGGCTCACATAAATATGTTGCGGACATATCAGAGTCATTATTCACGCTCTCATACTAAAAAGATTTATCTATCATCTGATCTTTCAATTTCCCAGATGTATCGCCTTTATGTAAAACACTGTGTTGATGATAAAATTGAGACCAAAAGTGCATCTCTTTACAGGAAGATTTTTGTGGAGGAATTCAATTTATCTTTTCACAAGCTTAGTAACGATAGATGTGGTAAATGTGACAAAAATAGCCACCTCATTAAAGCTGCTAGTGAAACAGAAAGATGTGAGGTAGAAGAAGAACACAGGCGGCATTTACATCTAGCTAGCATGGCATATGACGAAAAGAAGTGTGACAGAAACAGATGTAAGGATAACCCAGGTTTTGGTTGTGGTTAGCTTTGACCTCCAAAAATGTCTCTCTACACCGTTACTAAAAAACAACTACTCCTTCTACAAACGGAAACTATGGACATTGAAGTTGACTCTTTTTGAATCGAATGCTACAAGCAACTCGGCCATCTGTTACCTATGGAACAAAACTCTTGCAAACCGTGGTGGTCAAGAAATTGCATCTTGTATATTTGCTTACTTGAAGAATCTTCCCGATAGCATCAGATAAATTATATTTTATAGTGACTGTTGCCCAGGCCAAAACAGAAACATATATCTTGCTGTAATGATCCTACTTAGTATGGAACACTTCAGGAACGAAGGACGACATGTGACTATAACACATAAGTTTTTGGTTCCAGGACACACCCATATGGAAGCTGATACGATTCATGCAACCATAGAAAAAACGAAGAGAGTAACTACTGCCAATATTGATATCCCTAGAGACTGGGCCAACTTGATAAGATTGGTTCCAAGAAATACTTCTATTATTGTCAACGAAATGGAGCAGAAGCAGTTTTTGAACTTCAAAGTAATGCTGACAAACTACTATCATCACAGAAAAGTCAATACCAATGGAGACACAGGACCATGGAGCAAGATATGTATGCTGCGTTACAGCTGTGACAGTCCAGGGATATTTTTTTACAGTATATCGTACGAGGCGGAATCTGCCTTTAAAGCTGTTGACTTAGATCGTAAATCTAGGCATCCATCACAACAAGCTGCAACACCTTAGAGACTTGATGCCTTACGTAGACCTAGTTTGTGAAGAAATATTATTTTAGTCTGGCAACATGGTAAAATCTCGTTTAAACCAGTTTAACCTAGATACCGGCAAATATTATTTTTATTTTTAGCGTCAGTGTTTGTTTACAGTTCGGTGATCGCGCGCTGTTACGTCCAGCTAGTGACGATTTTCGCGCGTAAAATTATGCCGGGTGGAAAAAAACGTCCCCTTTCGGAGTTAGAACTTCAGTATTTAGCTGAATATTTGAGCGATGTTAGCGATATTGACGAGCCATTTGATGATTCAGATGTAGATCCATGGTATGCTGAGAGTTCGGAATATGATAGCGAAGAATCTGCCGAAAATAATCAAAGATCTAAAAAATCTAAAGATCAACAGCAACCCAAAGTACCGAAAAATCAAGTCCAGCCACAACAGGTAATATTTGTATTTTCATAAGATTACCATCAATAATAAAAATTGTGCCTATTTTTAGGGTACCAGTAGTGACGACGAAGATCAAGATATAAATTTAGTCTGTGCCCAAGTTCAGGCGGCAACAAGAATACAACCAAACGTAATTTGGTATGACGTTGATGAAGAGAACCTAAATGAATTTCCAACCCCGCAGGAGGATAGTACATTAGGTCCGATTGTAGAAACGCGTCATGACGACAGCCCGCTTTCTTTTTATAGGTGCTTAGTTTCTGATGATTGTCAATGAATCTATCTCAAAAAACTCAATTATCGCCAACTGGAGTGATACAAACCACAAAGAAATGTTAAAATTTATTGGAATCCTTATATGGATGGGACTTACCCCAAAACCTCGTCTAAAAGATTTTTGGAGCACTATTTTTATTTATAAAACTGAGATATATAAAATTACACAGATATCACGATGTCGATTTGAAGCCTTACTGTCTTGTTTACATTTTTCGGACAATGAATGTCCAGAGGGAAACAGATTATTCAAACTGGAAGCATTGTTAGGAATATCCAACAAAAATTTCCAGGCGGCTTTTGTGCCAGGAAAGTCCGTTTCTATAGATGAATCCATGGTTCCTTTTCGAGGGAGACTATCATTTTACAATATATACCTGGAAAAAGCCACAAGTATGGCATACAAATGTTTAAGCTATGTGCTCAAGGTGGCTACACGTACAACTTAAAAGTTTACGCTGGCAAGGAAGTCCGACCCACGGATCAATCAGTAGCAACTCAAATAGTAATGGAGTTAATGCAACCTATTTTGAAGAGCGGAAGGACCTTAGTCACCGACAACTTTTACACCAGTGTTAGTTTAGCTCATCAACTGAACGACAATGAGATTCATTTGATTGGAACACTGCGAAAAAAATAGAAAATACAACCCTAAACGTGTCTTTGAAAAAAAATTAAATCGTGGAGAAATGCTGTGTCAAGCGAGCAACACGAAAGTTATTCTTGGCAAATGGGTGGACAAACGAGAGGTTGCTTTTTTTACCATTAAATCGCCTCCAGTAATAACTGAAATCCAGACAAGGACTGGTATCAAAAATAAGCCGTCTACTATAATCGAATATAACGCTGTTAAGTCCTACATTGATGTCTCAGATCAAATATCTTCCTATAGTAATCCAGTGAGGAGTTCTTTGAAATGGTACCGGAAAGTGGAGATAGAAATCATAGCAAGTACTAGCGTTGTCAATGCACTGAAATTGTATAATAAAGCCTTAGATAAAAAATGGATATTACGACTTTCAGGGAGAGCCTTGTTGAGAGTTTGTGCAAGGACAATGAAGATGTTCCTCTTCTGCCAGCATTCGCTCATCGTTTGGAAGAACAAGCTAAGATATGAAGACGAGTGGTTTGTTATAACTATTATTCAGAAAGATACGGAAGAGGGCATGCATCCAAAAATTCAAAAATAATGTAATACTAGATGTTCAGGATGTACAGACAAAAATTTTTTATGTTTAACACTTTAACTGCCGAGGAAATTTGGATATACTTGCCTCTACGCCAGGATTTTTTCAGCGTGTTTTTGTGGGTGTGTCAAAATGACGCACGCGACGCGGTAGGAACAAAAAGCCGACCTTGCGCCGTGCGCTTCATTTTGACTCACGCGTGTGACCCTGCAACCCTTCGTGTGATTCGGATGTTTTCGCAAGAATTTCGGTAAATAGTTTGCTATTGTCGAGTCTCAGCGTGACAATCATCAGTAGGGAAGACCGGGGCTGGTAGCCGCACTGGCTTTTTCCCCAAAACTATAAATATGGCGACAATGCCGCGTCTCGTGTTTTAAAGCTTAAGTCGCGCCCGAACTTTGTGGAACGTTTCAGTCTGATCAGTGCAATAGAAGTGAGTGCACGCCGTCAAGTGTTATTTTGATGCTCGTAAGTGAATTTATTTTTTCTATTGTTTTATTATAACTTTGATGTAAAAGTAAGAATATAAAACGAAGTAGACCGTCAGAATTCTACGGAAATCTATTTTTTAGTAACATATTTTTAATAACCACTTTAGTTACCAGACAAAAAATAAACGCAAAAGTATTTTAAAAAACGCTTTGGGGTCGGTCGCCGCATTTGTTGAGGGGCAGGTTGCCGCATGCGGCAACCATCCCCACTTTGGATTTCAAATCATATTGTTGCGACGCAAAAATGTATTTATTTATATATACGTAATTTTAACGATAAGCTTAGCATGGATAATTTAACTTCTAACGTAATCATAGCGAATGACCTGTATCCGATGTAAACTATAGAAGTTACTCGTATTCCACGTAAATAGAAAAATAACAAGGGTAAAACAAAAGTAAATCCCCGTATTACTGTGATGACGAGCAACTTCCTGTTTACCGCTTTTCATCCTTATTAGCTATCTCTATCTGGAAATCTCCCTTTCAACTTTTACGCTCATTATCCCTACCTTAGCTTCACATTTGCATCTAACTGGACCTAACCTGTATCCACTTTTGACTTTCACGCCTACTCTCGACTTATTCCCTTTAGCTCCACCCTTATGACGTCCTATCTATACCTTAGCATTTAAACCTTTCTTAACACTCCTACTCTTCCCTAATCAACCAATAGAATAGCATTGGATAATATTAAACACATAGCTGCATGCGAAAAATATTGTATACGTCGACAGCATGACAGATTCGTCTCAACTTGCGAACGAGTAACACATAACTGTTATCTCCAACCACTTGTAACTCTTTATCGTATTACGCCATAAATTAAAATAAATCAATATATGTAAAAAATAAAGTCTTTGTAGATCAATTTGTACAAAGAAGAGTGAGTATACATAATAATAAATATATATTTCACTCCTACACTCAACACATATAATTTGGAAAAACATATTTAAAAACGTTTTATTATCTTCATAGAATATGAGAAACCGTAAAAGAACCACTGAAAGGGGTAAGACACCAGCACACATTATGCTAAGGGCTGCAAGAGAGGTCAAATTAAATAATAAATCCATTAGAGGAGCAGGAACCGATTACGATATCCCTGAAAGAACCCTGAGACGATTTCTGCAGAAAGTCACGGATGAAGAGCTTTATGGCACTAATGAACTACCTACAACTGCAGTCGGCTATATAAAAAATAGACAGGTAAAAAAATATAATTACTTATTGGGCACTTTAGTAAACAGTGTGCTTGTGAATTATTTAATACATTTTCAGGTTTTCTCCGACGACCAAGAGAAACAATTAGAGGAATATATATTAAAGACTGCCGATGTATACTTTGGCTTATCACCAAAACAGATAAGAACTTTTGCTTATGAATGGGCTGTCTCACTAAAAATTAAATTTCCCGATTCCTGGAATACAAATAAATGCGCCGGACAAGATTGGTTTACCTATTTTATTAAAAGACACGCTGGTCTGTCTATACGTACGCCGGAAGCCACAAGTTTGGCACGAGCATCAGGATTCAATAAGCACAGTGTAGGAAATTTTTTTAAAAATCTGAAAACAGTTCTGCATAGGCTACAAATTGGTCCTCAGGATATCTACAATATGGATGAAACTGGAGTTACGACCGTTCAAAAACCTGACAGAATTGTAGCAAGAAGGGGCTTTAAACAAGTAGGTCGAATCACCTCTCAAGAAAGAGGCACATTAGTGACTCTCGCGATAGCTGTAAACGCCATTGGTAATAGCATTCCGCCCTATTTTATTTTTCCACGCGTTAACTTTAGAGAGCACATGCTCTCTGGTGCCCCACCTGGAAGCGCTGGCGCAGCTAACCAGTCTGGATGGATGAAAAAGGAGCATTTTCTGCACTGGTGTCAACATTTTGTTAAGCACACTGGTTGCTCCAAAGAAAGGCCGGTACTTCTGTTGTTAGACAACCATGACTCCCATTTATCAATTGATTCTTTGGACTATCTTAAAGAGAATGGAGTGACGGTGTTGTCCTTTCCGCCACATTGCTCTCACAAGCTACAGCCGCTGGACAGATCAGTAAAAAAAAAAAAAATATGTAAATACAGCATGCGATGGTTGGATAACCAGTCATCCAGGGTCTAGTATGACCATCTACGATGTCCCTAAAATTGTGGCCGTAGCTTTGCCAAGCGCAATAACACCAAAGAACATAACAGCAGGGTTTAAAGTGTCAAGAGTTTATCCATTCAATGAATGTGTCTTTTCTGAAGACGAATTTCTCCCCTCTTATGCTACTGACCGCCCACTTATTGAGCAAGCAAAAGATGATGAAATTGACAGGAAACCTAATAATAGCCCTAAACCTAAAATATCTCAGGATACTAGTCCCCAACCAGGAACATCTCGGGATTATTCTGAAATTCTTAACGCTGATAGCTCAATACCAAAAACTTCTGAGATAAACCCACCGCTCGAAGAAAAAACTCCGGAAAAGCAAATAATTAAAAATATTAACATATTAGCCAAAGAAGATATCGAGTTGAACACCCAAAAAAAACAGTCAGTCCATTTGAGCTAAAGCCCCTGCCAAAAGCTCCACCAAGAAAAAAATGAGAATAAAGGAACTCGAAAAAGGCGTCACACCGAGATTTTGACAGATACACCAATAAAAGAGGCACTCAGAGATGAACAAACAAAAAAAGTTCCAATAAGAAAAGAGCTTAAAAATAACAAAGAAAACAAAATAAAAAGAAGAAAAATGTAAATAAAAAACAATTGGCTGAAGAATCGAGCGATGAAGATGAGTGTCTATGCGCTTACTGCCTTGATACTTTTACAGGTGTGAGGGTGAGGAATGGATTAGATGTTTTTCATGCAGTGGGTGGGCACACAAAGAATGTGTGGGAGAAGATAACGCTCCTTTTTATTGTATTAATTGTATGAGTGAGTAGAGAAGTGTTTGTAACTTAAAATGTTAATATTTTTTATTTTAAGTCTTTGTGACCTAAGTTCATTAAAGAGTTAGTTACCTAATTTTCTTATAAGTTTAACACTGTTTTTTTAGTTTTACTTTTTATTACCTGAGTTCATTAGTTAAATTTTCTAATAATTTTAGGTTTAAAAAAATGTACCTATTTGATTAAAAAAAAATAAAAACATTTTTCTTGTCAAAATTTAATATTAGAAAATAAAAATCACACATTCTTTATTTTTTTACAATCATTTTTGTATGCGGCAACCTACCCCATGTGGTGCGTCAACCAACCCCGTTAGAGGGGTAGGTTGCCGCACTCTGCTTTACTGAAGGAAATATATATTTGTATCAAAAC